AGTATAGAAAAACATAATTTGTCATTTTATATCCCATTTATAACTTCATCTACAATATTCACAGTTGCTCTGGACAACATCTCCACTGTTATTCACACTAACTCTTCCCCATTAGCCTGAATGCTTTATAACACACACTTTTTCATTTAATGACATATTCAGAACTGCATTCACCCATTTTGGTAGTTATGTCTATTTCTATAGAATGGATCTCGTGACATTAGTTTCCCAGCCATCATACACACAACCAAGGGCTACACCAGATGATTTTCAATATTAAAAAACTTCCACGCAGATCAGCCCTTGGGTTGCACCTCTAAACCTGAGCAGATAATGGTTGATAGCTGACACACCTGGCGTCATTTGATATCTGTAAAATAGCATCCTAGTTCCCAGCCTGCCCTGATATACAATGTAAGCCTCCGAAGACTTCTCCTTGGGAATGTATTTTTGAAATGTATAATGGTTTTACTAACACATTCAAACTCCTTTTCTTAAGAATCAGCATTTTAAATGTAGTTGCCACACAGCTGCAAATTTCAAATTCAAATACATCTTCCCAACATATTATAACCAAGAACTTCTCACACGCACTACAATAACATCCTACAATCTACTAAGGGTTAAATTGTACAGAAATTGTACCATGGGTGGGGTGACATGGGCTGGTACAATTCTACATAATGTTTTCTATAGCAGCCAGTGTGTTTTTAGTGGGGGATCTTACAAGGACAATGACTATATATTGTACAGTTTACACAGCCCGATACACTATTGATGGTGTACCAAATATAGGGCACACAGAACACTATATAGAATGGTCACATAATTTTCCAAGTTGAAGAGTTTGTACATGAAAATGCAACTAGTGCACTAAGGCCTCATACACATAAAGCTGTTATGTGCATCAGGGGATTCCTGCGGCAAGAACCTGTGGATTCTTGTGGCAGGAATCCCAGGTAGGTCCGTAAAGATGGGGCAGCTGTGCCCATTTAAGTGAATGGCAGCAGCTGCATCTGTCTGTGGCTGTCCGCAACTAATCGTATATATGGAATGATTGCCTGCAGATTGGGATAAATGTGTGTCCCTGCATGCAATCTGTCTGCGTCCAGGGACAATCATCCTAATCCATATGTAATCATTCCATGCACACAGTTACTTTCAGATATGGCCACTGTCAGCCTGCCGTTCACTTGAATGGGTACAGCGGCCGCAGCTTTAACGACCCACCTGGGATTCCTGACGCAAGAATCCACAGGTTCTTCCAGCAGGAATCCCTAGCCGCACAGATCAACCCTGTGTGCATGTAGCCTAAATGTAAAAAAATCCCAAAGTGGAACATGTCGCACAGAAAATCCCAAAGTGACGTGGCGTGCCACAAAAAGAATTTTTCAGAAAATGAGTTCAATATTTAGTGCAACGGTGTTCAGTATTGCGGCAAGAGGATGATGGTGCAAGACAGTCAAGATTATGGTGCCTAGTGAACTATACGCACTGCAAAATAATAGTTTATGTGAAATGCAATGCCCCACAATCATGTGCATTCCTCTACACCCGCCAATCGTAATTTATTGGGCCCAATGTGTGTGGCCACACTGCATGATGAAAAAATGGGATTGCAATTAAAAAGTCAACTGTGTATGGCCTGCTTGAGTGGTTACCTTGCTTGTTGTGGTTCCCTGAAAGCGCACAAAGCACACCAACAAAATGACAATATTGTCAACTATGCCATAGATGTTTATAGGATTAATGAGAGCACAGGTAACTTCACCCTGTACACTTCCAGTGTGTTACGTTTCCACGATCAATAGCAGTTGACAACCCTTTAGCACTGGAACTGTAAATTACTAGTGAATTCTAGCCCTTTGTCCGCCATAGCAGCTTTCTGTGCCACGCCTGGCCCAAAAAAAAACAAGCGTTGAAGTTTGGCCATATACCAGTAGGATTTCGGCTTTCAATAGTTATTGTTTTCAACTGTAGGGACAAAAAATTCGAAAAGGAGCAGGATGGAAATTTTTTCTTGAACGAACGCAATTCTGACAGCGAATGTGGTTTTCTTGGGGAAACCCCATTCATTTCCAAAATCAAATGTTAAATTCAAACGACCTGCGTGAAGTCTCTGATGGCATTAGCGAATGTTCTGATGAGAATATTGTAGGAAAGTTAATTTGATAGTCTACCAGTATATGGCAAGCTTTAGGCAGTGGAGGTGTTTAGACAGCACGCAGAGGTCAGGCAGAAGTACAGTATGTGTCAGCAGGTGGAGATTGCACTCCGTTGGAGTGCTAATTACAGGATTAGAAAATGATCTCACATCCAGAGGGTATGAGGAGACTATGGCTGTGCCGAAAGAGAATACATTATAAAGGCAGGCGGTGCTCATTTGGCAGCCTGAAAACAGCTTTCTCTCTTTAAAGTGGAGTTTCTCTTCAGCTGGGTATACGCGGTTCGAATTTTGTATGAACATTCAAACCTCGTCAGAACATTCCATTATGCCATCAAAGACTTGACGAATGTCATTCGAAATTTGGTTTGATTCTAACATTCAATTTTGTAATAGAATGGAGTTTACCGAGAGAAAACCACATCCACTCTTAGAATTTTGTTTGGTCGGGAACATTTTCCATCCTGCTCATTACTACAGTTGAATACGATTGTCGATTTGACCCCATTAACTATTAAAACATTGAACGAACATTCTGAAAAGACTGTTTTTGAACTATATTTGAACTGTGTTCAACCAGCATTACACTGACACCATACAATAAATGTATCCTCTGCACAGACTCACAATCTTTTTCTGCCACAGAATTGACACGCTCTGTTAACCCTTCCTCTACCACAGACATGCAGCTCAGTGAACTCTCCTTCTGTGTTGACTCTCCTTTCTGTGTTTTTCCACTTCATTTTCCTAGGAAGGATTAACCCTTCCTCTGCCAGAAATTTCTCTTCTCTCCTCCTCTGCCCAAAGGTGCCCAACCTGTCATTTGCACTGCGTGAAACTTTGCCCTGGCTAGCGCCTTCTCTGGACCCTTTACTAGACCCCAGTGCAAAATGCCTTCTTCCCTTCTCTGCCACTTGTAGTTTAACCCCTTCCCTGCCTGAGGGCATTTTCTCCTAAACCATAAACTCAATAATAAGGGATGGTCTGTGCTCACTTACCAGTCCGGGAACCTCCAGCCCATGGGATACGGTGCAAGATGAAAGCAAGGAGAGGAGATCTTCTTGTCAGAGCCTATGAGGCTGTAATCCATCTGGGAAGTGTGAGTGAGGGGGAGGAGGGCTGGGTGCCATGTGTGATAGCGGAGAGTGGGGAGCGATAGAGAAAAAGCAGTGGGGGTCTCTAGTGCCCTGTATGAGAAATGCCAGCAGGGTGGGAGGGAAAGAAAAGAAATGTATTCTGCCCCTCGCTGTATTATCTCCATCTCTGCTCATCCCACACCTGATATCCCACTAATGACATTCACCTTCCAACCTCTTTTCTCACCTGTCTTTTCTCACCACTCTCCTCCCTCTCACCAGGATGACTTATCTCCCCATCTGCTGAGTGTTCTCATCGGTCATCCCCACTTCTAGATACAGCTTGAAATATACCAGCCATCACTTGTGACAACTGGGCTGTGCAGGGTTAACTTAAAAGCTTTAATCACCATTTTGGGGTTATTTTATATCAGAATCATGCTGTTTTTTTACGTTATAAAAGAGCTTTTCATTTTTACCATATTTTTTTTACCGCATTGTAATAATATTCTATGGGAGAAAGCAAAAAAAAAGTACCCATGGACACTACTGCACAACAATAACTTAAAATAAACTCTCATTTATATAATGTTTCATTATATAGCATAATATATATTATAATAATATTCCTGGTTTATTTAACAGAATTATGGAGATGAGATCAAGCTTACTTTATCTTATGTAACGATAACCATCAGTTTAGGCTGCTTGGTGTGCCCAGTGCCCGGACAGTGTGTCCAGTGCCCAGTACCAGGACAGTGTGTCCAGTGCCCAGTGTCTGCACACTGGTAGTGATAGTGATCTATTCCAAATGGCACATATGTTGGCAGATGGCAGGGGAGAATAATGGTGATCTCTTGTTCGAGGCACCCACGTTAATCCCTGTTCACAGCTAAGCGTTCAGTGAACGACGCCAAAATGCTCGCTGTGTGTGCCTTGATGCACATTCAAATAGCAACAGATTTATTATCCTAGTTTAAGGTTCATCCTTAATTGCCTTCATAAGGAAAGATGTCTCAAAATTGTTTTTGAATTGTCTGTCTCTAAATTGTTGCAGGCTTGCGGGGAACCTCCTGGATGATAACTGAATAGTCCCAAAGTGACTTGAGAATGAGAAGCTGAATTATCTTTGCGATACTTTAAGTAGTGCTCAGGAGCACTTTTAGGATGTGCGATAGTTTAAAGGTCTTTTAATGTTGCAAATGCTGTACACAAATACAGTGCAGTTGATAAATTATACGAAATGTCCCTTAAAAAAAAAAAAAAAAGGTTGCATAACAGAGATAAAACCTTTCAGTTAGTTAGCATGACTTTTTGGTCCTTGTTCCTAAAAATCTTGTCGCAAACACGTTCATAAAAGTCCTCCCAGTGTATTTAGCAATGAGGAGCAGCATCCATTGTAAGTGATTTAATCAGCATTTAAACTGAGGCCCCATTCACAATGAGCGATCTTTCGCGCGGTTCGGGGATATTTACCGCGCGATATCGCTCTCCAATGCATTTCAATGGGGCTCTGTCCGTCGCTGTCGCGGGTCGCTACAGCAGGACCCTTTTTGGAGCGGATTTTTCCGCGATTCTAGGTTGCTCAATGCAACCATTTGCGCGATATCGCGCGACAAACGCGCGATATCGTGCAAAATGCAAATCGCGCGATTTGCGAATCGCTCAGTGTGAATGGGGCCTTAAAAAAAACTCATAGAGTGCCTGACAGCTGTATGAGAGAGAAGGGGGACCCAGCGGCATACCTTATCTCACCGGATGAAAGTCCCCTCCTCTTTCTGCCAGCGTCCATCACATGTGTAATGACGTCCCCAGCATGCAGGATGACGTCCCAGCGGATGACACCCTGCAGCCACACCGGGTGACACCTGACCTGGGGACGCGTCTACAGCCAAAGAATATGTGACCACAACTAAGGATCAGGTGAACTATGGGAAGCTGGCACACAGCTGGGTTTACTAAGCGTGATGGCACACAGCTCTGCTTTTTCACACCCATAGATGTAGGATAAATATCTGTCAATTAAAAAATTATTCTTGGTCAAATATAATTTCTTAAAATGACACCTTAGCATGACTCAATCATATTGTCTTCTGTTAAGCTGGCCATAAGCTAGGAGATTTCCGAATGAACGTTCGTAAGAAAGATCTTTCTTTACAACCCGATAATGCCATCAGACACTTGATGAATGTCGATCGAAATTTCATTTGATTTTAACATTTGACCCCCATCAATTACCGTAATAGAAAGTCGAACAAAAAGACTTTTGTACAAAAGTTTTTTGAAAATATAAGAAGTGCATGGCCAGCTTTAGGAAACCACATATGGCCACCCTAAGCCTTTTCTCCATTAAATTACAACAAAGGGTTCTCGGTAGAGATGCGCCGATTTTTCAAGATGAGTTCGAGTATTGATACTTTTTCTCAAGTACTCGTCAATACCAATTACTGATACCTTTTTTTTTACAGGGTTATTCACAAAAAGGTGAAGAGTTTGGAGAAGTGAACAATCTAGACCAAAATAGCTGATTTTGAGAAAATCTCCTATTCAGCTCACTTTCCAGTTTAGCTATGTTGTCCTAGATCGTTCACTTCTCCAAGCTCTTCATCCTTTTGTGAATAACCCTGTTAGTGTCATGTGAAAGTTTTTATAAAACAATACAGGATAATGATTTAAGGACAGTGATGGAGCACCAGGGCCTGGTCCCAGCTTCAAACGCTGCGACCCTGGTAGTTCTGCCACTGACTCCAAGCTGTAGAAGGACTACAAATCCCAGCAATACCTTACATAGCATTGCAGAATACCACCAGCTATAGGAAACTACAAATCCCAGCAATACATTATACAGCAATGCAGAATAATATGAAGCTACATACTCCGTGTTACTCACTAGGGCAGTGTGCAGGGTCTCACCAGGGCTGAGTGTGGGTCTCACTAGGGCTGTGCGAGCAAGTGTGGGTCTTAACAGGGCTCTGTGCGGTTCTTACCAGAGCTGCGTGCTGGTCTCACCAGGGCTGTGTGGGTAGGTGCGGGACTCTTCAGTGCTGTACCGGGTCTCATCATGGCTGCGGTGAGGTCCCCAGCAAGCACAGGAACGTTATGGCTGCTGCTCATGTTTAAAAATTTAAAGAGCCGGTGTCTGCGCTTAGTATTGGGGCATCTTCATTTGTACAAGTACTTGTGAAAATGCCCAGTATTGGCACCGGTATCAGTGCATCCCTAGTTCTAGACAAGGGAAAGCCCAACTCCAGCCAAAACTGGTTATTAAAGCTGAATGCCGGGATAAGTAAATATTGTCATGTGTATTCTTATTTAAATCTTGGTGTACTTCGTGTATTTCTTTCAGATCTGTGCAGTAATCCAGTGTGAAACTTTACCTTCCTGTAATAAAGACCAGTCACTGCTGCTCTCCCTTCTTGTGTAGGATGACTGGCCTTGTATCTGCCCCCTCCTGTAGTTTTTTACAGGCAGCCTGTAGTGGGTGAAGCCTGCTGGCACCCTTCCACAGCTCAGCTCTCTGCACAGGCTATGTACAGCACAGTGATGATGTCACTTCTACTTTTACAAGTTGATATTGGGGTTTGCAAAGGCATTTGGCTCTCACACAGTGGATTTAAATCCTCTGTGGTTATTGAGGAATATATTTTAATTTTTATGCCCAGAGTTCAGCTTTAAGTTTTAAATGTGAGGGATTTTAAAGACCCTGTCAGCTTTATTTGTTTTTATTGCTGTCTATCTATTTTTTGCGGAAATTAACAGGACAGGGCAGTTCTAACTTCCTCTCAGAGCAGGAAGTGATGGGAAATCTAATTGGGATACAGACATGAAAAAAAACATATTTTTATTAGAGTGGAAAAAGTTTCAATCTGTCCCAGCACCCCTCCTTTCTTTTATGAGCATCAAGGAGACGGGAAGTGAGTGAAAATCTCTTCAATTGGGTCACATAAGGAAATCAAAACACGGTAGTAATTGTAACTCTTCTCCAGTTGTATCATTCTGCGTAGAATTAGGCTTGAACTTTTAAAACTTTCCTATAATTCTTCCCTTTCTGCCGCATTTCCCTACACCAATTACACAGATTAATTCTCTGTGTCCCTTATTGTCCCTCTCCTTCCTTTGTCTGAATTAGAAGTTGACAATTTAGGGGATTTAGAAAAAGTGCAACCTGGCAGAGCGTAAATTAGCAGAAGCAGAGTAAAGCAAATTTCCTACCGAGGTATTTCTCCTGGGAAAAGGATGGTTCGAGGGACGTACTCGCGGTCAATGCACACAGATCTACAAGGACACAATAGGGGTCATCTTCAAATAGAGAAAAAGCAGATAAGAACGGAAAACGTCAAGCCTCTTTGTCACCAACTACCTTTTCCATATTTTATAATAATGTGGATGGAATAAATAAATACATCCCATATGCGGCAAATACTGGCTGCGTATTTATTGAAAGAGCAATACATCAAGAGCAATAGCCTATAAAAACGAATCCAGTTCTATACTCTACTGGTCTGACTGCTCTAAGCCTGCATTTCCCCAGGCACCCCAGTATATAATGTAAAAAAATGTGAAAGTACAAATATAAAAAAAATACATGTGGTTCCTCCCCAAAATCTATACTAGACCCTTATCCTAGATATAGGTCTGGTGTGCATTTTAAAGGGGGACCACATGCAAAAGAGGAGCCCCTCTTCACATCATAGTCCTACCTTCATCACAGTGAGACAATATGGCAAAGGGTGGGACATGGAGCATTTCTGAATGGAGGTGGACGAATGTCGTCTTCTCGATGCTAGTGAAGGTCCTGAATGCAGCCCACCCTGGATTAAGGTCATGCATTTCCATGGTGCAGGTGGGCAGCTTGCCTGTACCCAGGGCCGGATTTATTCTCTCTGCTGCCACAAGGTTCCCCAATGCGCCTCCCCTCCCCACCAAAGTTTCCCCATTTTTAATTTTTTTTACTTTTTAATCTTATCTTTTACTTTTTTATAATTTTTTTATTTTATAACTTTTTTATCACTTTAATTTTTTTAATTTGAATTATTTCTTATTATTTTTTTAATTTGTATTTATTTTATATCAATTTTCATTTTTTACATTTAGCCCTGCTTGCCCGAAGAAAAAACTGTGATGCCCCTCTACTCCCTGCTGCCCCAAGGCCAGGCCTCGTGGGAAATCCAGGCCTCCCTGTACCATGCAAATGCATGACATTGTGCAAAAATTTGAGAGTACCCCTGACAACGCCAGAAGGCATACCAGAATG